TGGTCCAGCCAAACATCTGCGAATTTCCATGTACTATCCACTTTCTACCCACCCACTTACGACTTGCTAGGAGCTTGCCGAGTCGCGAGAGTAATGTGAGGAGACGTCTGCCACAAATGTTGGCTCAAGATCTGGACCATGTGGGTCCTCGAAAGGTTTTACAATCCGTTGCTACCGTCTTTCGCCTCCTTTGCCGCGATGCCCTCTTCTTATTCGGATCCTATGGCAGCCAGCACGGAGACAGTTGAGAGTGTGGCTGCCTTTGCGACCCTGCTGACCCTGACTTTGACAAACGGGAGGAGGTGCATGATGCCGCCGCGGTGGCCCGAGCAACTCTCCGCGAGGACGAGGAAGTTAGCAACATTCTCACGCTCTGTCCCAGGTTGAGATTGACCAAGCCCCCTTTCTGAGAAGCTCAAGGAGATGGACATAGCAACGGCCAAGCTTGCAATGGAGAAGCCGGTGGCTGTCGAACCGGAGACGCAGCAGCCAATGCAGGTGCTCCAGGTGGAGCTCGCAGGCACCGAATCGGCCAAGTTTGCCGCAACATTGGTCGTAAAGTTCTGCGGGACCTTATGTAAGACCATAGCGAACTGTCCACCCCGACGCTCATGCACTGCTCGTGCGGTTTGACCATAAATAAAGCTCGGCCATACGGGCATGGCAGCACTGCGCTTCATTGGTGGTCGATGAGCAGGATCCGGCCACTCCCATGCGACAGCGTGCGAACTAGCAATAGTAGAATCATGGAACCTGTAACTCCGATCGAGGATGTTTTGACATGCCATAATGCATTGTGCACAGTAAGTTTGGGTGCTTGCGATCACATTTCTTGTTGCTTTTTATTTGTGCCGGCATTCTAGAACCAGCACGTGGCCCGGCAGCTCAACGGATAGGTTTTGGGCTTTGACGTTGCTGTAGGAGCCGCACACGTGGTTTGAGTAAATTGCGTCAGCCAAAGCAAGTCTTCGGTGTGGTGTGCCCTAGTGGTGCACGACAGGAGAGGATGTGGCTCCTGTCTCGGAGGTGGCTGAGCAGAAGGAGGTGGATGCAGCTGAGGACCAGGAAGGGGAAGGTCGGACCGTACTGGAGGAGTTGTTCCTTCAAGCTTTGATTTCTGGATCGCCAACGGCAAGCTCGTTGGCGATCCTGGGGTCGTTTGGTTTGCGGAGGTTAGCTGCGCACTCCTGCTGTCTCCTGCTGCAGGTCCACCAACTGGTGACCTTGAAGAGAAGATGGGCAAGGCGTGCGTTTTCGGATGTTGTGCCGACATGTGCAGCAGCCAGGATTTGGCTTCGCCCCAAAACCTTATGCGCAGTGGCAAATTGGTCTAACACACGTCGGTGCACTGTGAATACTGCGGGACTTCTGTACTCAAGCTGCGCCGGAAACTTCACGACGTGTTTGGGGTACTCATTGTTGAGAGAGGAACAGGGCCAACCTAGACGGCACAGATTCAGATTCAGGCAGTTGCTCGTAGCCTGCTCTGGAGCCTTTTGGGGGACTCCGTGTTCGTAACAAGACGCTGGAATATTGCACGTTAGCTGCATTGTCGCATGCAACTGGCAGTCGTCAGTCGTCACGATGTCTCAGACAATCCCGGTACGCTCGAGCGAGAGAGTCAGAGAGGGTGTGTGTGTGTGTGTTGTGGCGAATTGCACCCGTGGCCTTCGGCAGTGGGGGCGAACATCGCCTAAATTGATCAATCCCAAGCAAAGGAAGTGAGAAAGAGGAAGGTATAGAGTGAATAGAGACAATGGTCCATGTGTTCCCCACGTGTTAGTCCGTGCATACCACCAACAGATGGACGTGCCCGTGCCCCCGAAGGGGTGGTTCGCCCCCTCAACCCTGAAAGAGTCCGAGCCCATTTTCGGCTCGTTTAGAGCCACACGACCGAGCCCGAACTTCCGGCATTTCTGGGTCCTGCGAGCCGTCTTCCCTTGAGCCCCCAACCACTAGTCTTGCCCCGGACTCTCTGAACAGAGCTCCTAATTGGGTTTCCTTGAAGCAAGCGAGCAACCTCAGTGCCCTGACCCCCATTTCGCTCGGAGTCAGGCTCCCGACATTAGCACCGCTGATCTGTACAAGTACTACACGAACCGCTTGGCGCGCCGTGCCAGACAGGCAGCTATCATAGCAGACCAAGCCGTTCAGGACGCTGTGCCAGACTGTGGCAAGTAGCAAGATCAGCTTTTGCTCATCTGTCTCGGTCGTGTTGCAGAGTCGCTAGCGTGATCAGCGGCCAAGCTATGGTCAGAGGCCAAAGAACTCGTGAGCAAATCGTGAACCAGCTTGAATCTGAATCCACATTGATTGACATGTCCCATATACCAGGTCACCTCAGTATACCTCATTGTCCAAATTCTTGGACAAGAACTGACCACGCACGTTTAGCCTTGCCTCCTTGTTGAAAATTTCTTTGTCTCCAGGAGGCCTGGAAGCAGCAGCAGTTGGCGCGATACTGGAACCGACAGGCATTGGAAGCTGAGGCTGCTGCGAAACAAGCTCTGCCCGCCAAGGCTCGATACAAGAGCTGTCAGAATTTGGTTTGCGTTGGGCCGAGAGTCCTTGAGATCCTTATCAAGGGATTTCGTTGAAATGACAAAGACCCTTCGCAAGGACAGCAATCTGGAGGCAACCTCCAGTACCATTGTAGTAGCATTCGAGGGGTGCTCCGCCGCAGGTGAGTGATGAACGATCCACGTGACGTGGTTGACAATTGTGTGCATGAGGATCGAGGCATTCGTAGGCCTGGAGGGCCTGGGACAACAATGCGAAGGTGCAGTCTTTCGGTGCCAAGCAGCAGGAGGCTTCTCAGGGCATTCATCCAGGATGGTTTCAGATCTGAGTGGCAGTGCAAGTCTAGCAGATGGGCGGCCCACCAGACTGTGTACTGGTCCGAGGTGGCAGCTCAAAGTGCCGCCGGGATGGGAAATGCCAGCGAGCCCAATGGTGTCAGCTCAAGACCCTCGCGCAGTCACCATATACTCGGGTGCGATGTCGCCGGGGTTCCTTGGCACAGCTGATGTCAGGAAATTGCAGTTTCGTGGCATCTCTACCTGCGGACCTGTTTGACTGGCAGAGCCTGTCCGAGGGTGAGCGCCGAATCTCGCAACGTCTTCCTGAAACACAAGTGGCATGCGCGAACGAGGGACGGCGCTGAGAACCAAGGCTGCTGCTGGTTGGGCCCGCGGCGATCTGCCAGACTCGCTTGATGTGCGGCATGTTTTGAACAGCCTTACTCCAAGGGCCGCTTTGACCCTTCTGTGCAGATGCATCCAAGGTTCATTACGATGCTCGCTCAGGAAGCGATCAGCTGCGACTTTCCTCCCGACAGTTACCTAGCGCACGTGACCTCGCAGCACAACGTGATACGAGATGTTGGAGTTTCAAGCATTGGGTCGTTGATCGTTCTGGTTGAGTGACAACTCCTGATAACCCCGTTCCACGTCGAGCAGGTGCATGGGCCGCTTGGTGGCCGAAGGCCAGTCCATGCAAAAAGAGTCAAGCAAAGATGCGACATGTCGAAAAGCAAGCTGCTGGCGGTAGATTTCCTTACGGCATGAAGCAAGGCGAGAATCTGCGATTGAAGCGCTACATTGGTGTACTCCATCGTTCACACCACCGGCATGCCCCCTGTGCTTTGTCGATCTCCAGGTCCTTCACCCCCAACAAGAAGTACTCGCCAGTATTCTCCTGTCCCAGACGTCACCCCAGCTTACAGTGTGCGCGCTTACATGTATGCAGAAGACACCTGCTGGAAGACGGCTCCATTACTGGAGCTGAGAAGTCCAGCGAGAGCAGGACCGACGCAACGCGACGTGCAAATTGTGCATTTAGCTGGCACAGCTCTTTCGTGCACCAGGCAAGCCTGGCTGCGGGTGAAGAGCCGGGTCTAAAACGCATCTACCTAGGATCAACGACACATGCCTGCCGTTTCTCCGAAATCCCCAAATCTGATAAATGGTACTGTACATAGTTAAATAATGATACCGTACAGCGAGGTTTCTCCTGAAGAGTGCAAGGCGAGCTTCCGCCTTTCCGAAAAGGTAGTGAACAAAATTTTAAGTAAGGGCAGGTTGACAGTGATGCCGGACCACACCCGATTTCAGCCATAGTGCCCAAGCTAGTCGTGCAAAGCTTCTCCACTGCGAACTCGCATCGAGCTGAGCTCTTGGGCGCCATCATCACACGCAAGGCACTCAACCCTAGCTTACCAACGAGGTCCTGTGAACATGGCTTTCGACGGGGCAATGCACACTTGGAAGAGCAGGTGGGGGAGAGAGAGCTGAGACTCCTGAAGGGGTTGGGCACCTTTGGAAGCCTCTAAATACGTTTTAAAGATTCACTTGAAGAACACAAAGAGGTTCTACCGGGGGCGTACGAAGTCCCCAGGCACTGAAAAGCTTCAGGGCTCCTTTTCTTGCCCCATGCGTAGTCCAACAGCTCAGTTGCGCAGGCCCAACCCTTTTGAGTGAAGTGCCCACGGACGGGGGATAGCGTATGCAAGCTTTCGCCGTGCAGCAGAACTGCCCTAGTGCATGTTTGTGGAGCGAACATCACACAGGGGGCGGTTATTACGCCATGTGTGGTCGCCAGAAAATTGGGCGTCTATTAGACGTCCGGTGCTGTAGCTTGGCAAGAGGGTTCAGGAAGAGCCCGTTTCGCCGAGAACCTGAAAGGTGTGGCCGCTCGAAGATGTAGTAGACGAAGAGGTGGCGGCGGGGTCCTGGTCCGGCACATGCTGTAGTCGAAAGTGAGGATTGTACCGGAGGCGCTCGGGCACTGGTATCCAGGAGTCCGTGCAGTAGGAACATGGGGTTCTCGTCTGCACGCGGTTCTCGGTGCGGCTCTGGGCGCAGACGTCGCTGGTATGCCACACACGACCGTGTGGGGTGACATATATGTCCCCAACGTGGTGATGGCTCAGTCGGTTGCTGGTGTGGTAGTCGAGGAGGTGTTGCTGCTGTTGGACAGCAGCAGCCAGCCTGCGGTTCTGGTCACGCACCGTGGCCAGCTCCAACAACACTGTCTCGAGCGAGGATCCGGCTCGTACGGGAAAGGTTGTCCGTCTGGGTGCCGCGGTTGATGAAGGTCCTCATCTCCGGAAAGGGCTCCACAAGGTAGGTGGCGCCGGTCTGGGCGCCCTCATGGGTGCTCGAACTCCCTGTTTGGGTACAGGTCTGGGCGTGGCAGGGGGCGGTTCTCCAGAACTGCAGGAATGTCCACTTCGTCCAGGGGTGCCAGTAGACGAGCACCAGCATCACCAGTAGGATCGCGAACACGTCGGCTCCGGTCTCGTAGTAGGTGATCTCCTCCGGGATGTTGTAGGGGACGATGGCTTCCAGGTCCTCCGTTCGAAGGGCCACCGTAGGTGTCGCCAGGAAAGCGGTGGCTGCAAGTGCAGACGCCGCAGCCTTAGGCCGCGCGAACTGGTTTGCGCTCCTCGCCCTCTCATTGGCGTCCTTCTTCCGGCTGGCCTGGTACGTCTCGTCGGCAGTGATCTTGTGCTGGTGCGTCCTCAGTCGCAGAGCTGGGTCGCTGAGTCCTTCGTCAGGCCGTCGGCGTACTGGCGTTCCGAAGATACCGATCGTACACTTCCACCGATCTCCTTCAACTTACCCCGGGTGACCAAAGCCTCGAGGCATGTCCGCTTGTCCGCGGTGCTGGAAACATAGAGCTCCTCACGGTGGAGGATGTCGTAGAGGCACTTGGCGTCAATCACGAGTAGGCTTTCGTTCTTCCAACGTACGGAAGCAGTGTTCCTCGCCATTGATCTTGTAGCCCGGATCGAGAAGCGCCTTCCAAAACGTGATAACGAAGTGGAGGCAGTCAGCTGGCTCGGCGGCAGCTTGTCCTTGGGCTGCAAGGGTGGAATGTGCCACTCGCAGAAGTCCCAACGACCTCCAATCCAGGAGGTGGTAGCTGCTGATTCCTCCATCCAGTATCGCCCGGTGTGTCAGACACACCATGTATCCTCCTTGGCTCGACAAGTCGGCTGGGCTGGCGAAGGCCGCGTCGGAGTAGGCCAGAAACACAATGACAATCCCGAGCAAATCGTCCACGTGGAGGCCGATCGCGCAGCGAAGTTCGGTGTCCGACAACAAGTAGAGACATCCGTCAAGCGGATGTTTGGTGAAGCCAAGGGAGAGCAACCTTCGCGACGCTTCCTCGTACCACGCGCGGGGCGCGTCGGAGAGGCCGTACGTACATCGGTTTCCGAAGCCTCATCAGGACCCGTGGGTCAGTGTAAGGAGGGCACGGGCATCAGCAGGAAGGCGTATCCACAAGGTCCGGGAGGCAGGGTGTTCTTTTCCTTGGAGGAACGCCATGGTAATGTCGGCGATGAAGGTGCTCCAGGACTTCAGCGAAGCCAATGACATAAGGGTAGTCCTTCCCAGTCCAGTCGCGACAACGTGGGGCTGACCACTTCAATATGAAGTGGGCTTTCAGCACTCGGTTGGCCGGTGCCTCCCCTTCGATCACAAATTCCCAAACGTGGTTCGTGAACAACGATTCCAATTCCTTCTTCTTCGCCTGCACGAACGCCACCCTGTCCGCCAAAGACATGGCTCTTTCGCTCAAGTTGGCCCGGGCATCTTTCTGTCGTTTCTCCCTTGTGCCCGCGTAGGTGGCGGCCCCGTTGGACGCCACGTAGAATGCTTGTTGTGCTTCTCGTCGGTGTCCAGTACTGGTCGGTGCCGGGAGTGGGGGAATTCCTCCAGTTGTCCTGGTGGCAATGTTTTCCTCGTCGGGTCGTCCGGTCCTTTGCCAGCATTTCCTCAGGGATGGGACAGTCACCGGTCTCGCGGGGATTGAAGAGGGAGTCCCGGGCCACGTAGTGATTCCGGATTAGCGTGTTTCCTTTTAGCTCCCAGGTATCATGGACAGCTAGGTTCCAGAGCCAAGTGTCCCGACGTGGAGGCATCGCATGGCGAGCTACGTGTGCTCGATCCGCCAAGATCTGCAAGAGGTTCTTGAGTGGCTCGAGGAAAGGG